AACGTCTCGGGGCTGCCCGGAGGTAAGCGCGGAGGCCTCTACCATCGGAGGTTGGCGCGCCTCTCGCCCCAGATGGCGCGGACCTGGCGCTTGGGGGGCCAAGGGGGTCCGACTCCTCCTGGAGGTACTTCTTGATGACCCCGAAGAGGGAGACGGTCTCGACGAACTGGTCGGTGATCCCGGGCACCCCCGCATTCCAGAGCCTTTCGGGCAGGCGGAGTCGAGCAGCGCGAGAGCTCAGCGACGGGTCGCGGTAGACCCTCTAATTCCGCAGTTCTTCGCCCATGTCCTTGCTGGGCTCGCGTCGCATCCTGCCGACGATGTCGGATGCGCACTCGGCCGCCAGCGGGCAGATGTCCGCGATCCTGGCAGGGGTGGCCCCTGGCGGCGGAAGCGCCAGCTCCTCCACGTCGACTGAACACATCGCGCCCTTTGGTAGCATGTCTCTTCTTTTGGAGTCCTTTCCAGGGGCCGCAGCAGCCCCGTCGCCAGAGCACGGCGAGGCCCGATCGGTCATGGCGCGCCCCTTGATCGCGGCCACCTGACTGCCCCAGGGAAGCCGCGCCTCCAGGAGCCTCAGCGGCGTGGCTCTCTGGAGCGGTGTCGCCCGCCCCCGCGAGGCCGACGGCCCCGCGCCATCGGGGGCCCCCGCCGCGCCCCGCGAGAGGGGGGTGCATGCGAAAGCACGCACCTGTCGAACGGTGCCACGATGCATCGGCCCCGCGCGGCGCACCACCGCCGCCCAGGGCAGCAGAGGCAAATCCGGCAAAAGGTCTCGATCGCCAGGAACGGCCTCTGGAGGCGGCCCGACGGCCGTGGTCGAGGTAGACGATGGAGAAGCGCGTGGGTGAGGAAGAGTGGGCATGGCGTCGCCTCCCCTGGGCGGCAGCACCACGCGAAAATATCGTCGCGACCAGCAGGAACGCCGCCCACGCCGTCATGAAAGCAAGCCCACCTGGGCGGCCGTCGTTTGAGCGAGCGGAGCGGCGAACCGCTGGCCTCTCCGTCGAACGTAGGGCGACCTGCAGGGCACCAGCAAGGGGGGAGGCCCCTCCACGTCTATTCGTCCTCCTCCTTGGCCGCGTCCGAGCCTTCCTTCTGCAAGCACTTTTGGAGGAGGGCCTTATGCTGCAGCCTCGCCGTCAGGTCGCGCTCCACGCCCTCCGCGAGCGACTTCCAGTCCAGCTCGTTGGCGAGGTCCCACCGCACCTTGGACTACCACTTGTTGACCCCGCTGCCTCGGGGCTGCTTCCAGTCGTTCGTGCGGGTCACGTCCCTGGAAGCCCTCTTTAGCGCATGCGTCCGCGCGCAGAGGACCTTGCATCCCGCTGTCTGGATGAATTATGGGAAGGCTTCCAGCATGCGATCCAAGGTCATGCAGTGCAGCATCATCTCGTGCTCGATGTGGTTGCGGCCCAGCTCCGTCAGGCGTGCCCAGTCCGCCGCAAGCTTCACCATGCTGCCGTACTTCCCGCAGGTCTGGATTAGGAGCTCGGGCGCCACTCTCGCGGTGAGCCTCGCGGGGGAGCTGAACTTCGGGGGCCCATCGATCTTCGAGAGATTGGCGAGAAGACGCCCCCCGCGGGTTCCGCAGGTATTCCTTCAAAGGCTCGAGACTGACCCCAGCCACCTCTGGAACCGCCGGTGATCTAAAGTCGAGCGTCGGACACGCCGTGGACTCCGCCGTCGCCGTAGTCGATGATGTACCTTGCAGCGGCTTGCGGTTCGGGATGGCCCGGTCCGCGCTGATGGTGTCTTCGAACTTCTTCAAGCGGTCAATCATCTTGTCCACATGCATGTCCATGCTCGGCTCGGTGGGTGCGATGCTCAGCCTTCCCAACCCAGCTGGGACCTTCGCGCGGGTGATCTCGTCCAACAGGCTGCTCGTCATCGCTTTCATCTCCTGCGCGTCCTTGGAGGGTTCGGACTCGTCTGAGGAGGCTGCCACCGAGTGCCCCGCCTTCCCGTCGCTGTCCACGTCGGTCGCAGGTTCCTGGGGGAGCCCCCCGAGCCAGGAGAGGGGTCGGCCGCCTTTTGCAGCGGCGGTAGATGCTTGGGCCCATCGCGATCATCCCAGCGAAGAACAGGATCGGGAGCTCGAGCTTGCCGTCCCAGTACAGGTCGTGCGGGTGGCCGCTGAAATCGTAGACCTCCAGGAGCAAGTTTTGGCCGTCGTCGAGCTTCGCGACCGCCTAGCGCATCCATTGCCACATATTGAAATACACCGCCATCCGCCAGCCGAAGAAGAGGGCGCCCACCGTCGGGCCCCAGCTCCACGCACCCCAGAGGCCAGCCAGTCCCGAGCGAACCCAGGACAAGCGCGGGACCCATCTGCGCAAGTTGCTGAGATGGAGCTCGGCTTCCAGCTTCTTCTCTTTGGCCCGCTCGAGGATCTCGGAATTCTCGATAGCCGCCAGGGCGGGGAACGCGTCGTAGTTCCACCCGTGCTGGCGGCGGCGCGACAGCATCGTCCGATCCTTGATGTCGCCGACGCCCAGAGCACGATCGGGCTCCACATAGATCCAACGGGTCTCGGTCTTCTTTTTGGGGTACATCCGCATCGCCAGGAGGGCCACTTGGCCGCGCCGCGGTGCGGTCGTCCTGTAGAACCTGCTCCATCGAGCGACGCTGGACATGTGCACCTGCAGGTAGTCGTAGAAACTCAGCCGTTCCTCGGGGTCCACAAGCGGCTTGGCCAGGAAGGAGTCGAGGACCCCGAAGTCTCCGATGTGCGAGGGGAGGGCGGCCCCAGCGAGCCGCCGCCGCTTCGCCGCGGGGCTGGCGATCGCGCGCCCGCGACGCGAGCTCCCACCGCGGAGGGGCGGAAGGGCGCGCGAGCACCTGGCTCGAAGACTTTCGAGCCAGAAAAAGCTTGAGCGGACACGAAAGAACACAGGACAGGAGGAGGGATTCACCTGCGCGGCTATCTTACACGGCCCTCCCCGATCCATCCTCCCCGAGACGCGATCAATTAAGTTTAGGAATGCGATCAGTTTTTGGGGTAACTCAATATTGCAGTTGACCCCAACTCGAAAGGCGAGCAGGACGACGGAGCGAAAATCCACGAGGCCATCGTCGAGTTCATGTGCAGGCAGGTGAGGTGGGCGCGCAGAGATCTCCACGACTCCGTTTTGGCTGCCGGAGTCGCAGTGCCACCATTTCCGTCGATGCGCAACTACCTCGCTTCGCTCCACGCGCAGAGTGGCGACGACGACGCTGGGTTCCTGCCGCAGTCCTTCGCCAGCCACTACTACGCAAACTTGCAGGATATTCACCGGGTGCTTGCGCGAGGAGGTGCAATGCGTGGAGGCCGGCTCACCGACTCGACGCTGGTGTTGGCACAGCGCTTGGCGCACTGGCTCAGCCAGGCGAGCGGCCAGGCTCTGCCAGCGACGCGGGCGAGGGCGCTGCTGAAGGGGATTTCGACGAGCGTCCGCGCGTGCGAGGCACCTCTGGAGCGCGCGGCGGCTGTTGGGGAGATGCCCGAACGCGGCGTTGTCGCCGCGGAGCAGGCCGAGAGCGCGCTCGGCTGGACAATGGCGACCGAGCTCGATCAGGACATGCTCGCCGCTCTAGACGCGGACACGGAGGAGAAGGACTTCTTCGCAGGGAGGCAGGCGAATCCGTCCGACGTGGACTACTCATGTATCTGCTGGCAGACGCATGCGCCAGACTCTGTCGGCGCTCTAGCTGTGGGCTGCGATGCAGGTAGGGGCGCGCAGTCGCTCAGTCGGGCCGATTCGGCATGCGCGCCCGCTGGCATCTCCAACAGTTTCCACACGGGCTTGGCCGCCATGGGCCGCAGCTTCAGGGCAGACTTGCATCAGTCCAGCCATCATTCCGAAGTCGCTTCGAAGACTGCAGGCTTGGGCCCCGCCCAGAAGCCTGTTGTGGGCCGAGAAGCGTTTGGAGTGGGGGAGCATGCTTGGGCGCGCTGCGCCCCGTCTTCATTGCGCCTGCTTCTTCTCGGAACGGCAGGTGCTGAGGTACTGGCAATACTCACGCGGCCACAGTGGACATCACAGAGGTGCGCCTGCTGTTCGAGTCGCACGGCAGCGTGCTCACCATGGCCTTCACAGGTGTCGCCTCGGCCAATTTGGGAATGGGTCCAGAACCATCGGCTCCGCGTTTCATATTAACCGCGCTGACGCGGTGCAAGACTTGACAGGAGACGCGCTCGACAATCCCGCGAGCGACTTGGAGTCGTTGGAGTTGCTGGTCATCGAGATTTCTACTTGCGGTGGCCCGAGTTCTCTGGCGCAGGCGATGTCGGTACCCGCCGCTGGGCGACATGGGCCCTTTCGGAGACATCGGCGTGCTCTTGATGGGCGACTTCGCCCAGTTGCCGCCCGTGCTGAGTACGAGCCCCTCATCGAGAGCGGCGGAGCGGCTGCCAGATCCATGGCGATCGCGGGGAGGCACGTGTTCGACGCTTTCGGGGGCACGGTTCGTCTGCGGCGTATACACCGCCCAAAAGTCGATGGTTTCAAAGACCCCACCGTGCGACTCCAGGATTCCGCCATTACCGCGAAGGATTGGCTCTGTGGCCGACGCCGCGAGGTGGGCGATGCGAGCCCCGAAGCGGTTTGCCCGTGGCCAGGCGGGGACCGCTTGCTCTGTCAAACTGTGTTGCTCGTGCCAGAGAATGCGCCTGCAGGCAAGGTCAACGGGGGCCAGCTCGCAGCAAGGGCGCCGCTCTATGGCGAGCCAGGCCCTGCCAGCTCGGGCCATGTTGTTGTTCGGTGCGAGGCGCGCCATAGCCATGGGCGCGGTGAATCATGCAAAGCAGAGGAGTTCCGCAACGTGCACAAGCCAACGCACTTATGGGTCGGAGCGCGTGTGATGCTGTCACAAAATGGGTTGTGGGGCGTCGGGGCCGTGCTTCTGGGTCTGATGAATTGAGCTCTGGAGTCGCGGCTGCGATCTTGCTTTCGGCGCCTGGCGAGCAGCGAGTGGGCGGCAGCGCGCTGGCAGGATCTGGCTTTCCCAGTTCGCGGCAGGGCAACTATCCGCTTGGTCTGGAGGCCTGCCCCCTGCCTGCTTTTGTCGTGGTCCACTTCCCGGACTGCGCCAGCCCGCCGCGTTTCGCAATCTTGCCCAAGACGTGGGTGCCTGTCCCCTGTGTGGAGGTTGCGCGCAATAACGCAAATGTCCAGCACCATTCGCGCAGGGGTCCCTCTCCGACTTGCCTGGGCTCTCACGATGCACAAATCTCAAGGCATCACCGCGCGCGATGGGTGCGTCGTCTCCTTCGCCGGCGCCTGGTCGTCTTGCGCGAGCAAGCTGGGGCTTGCGTTCGCGGCTTGGATACGGGCGATGTGCTGGGGGCACATGGTTCCCCACAGTTCCCCGCCCATCGAGGACTTCGCGGCTGCGCGCCTCGCCCGAGACTTCGAGGCCAGATCGGCCTTTGAGACCAAAGCGGACGTTTTTTTTTCAGGCGCATCTGGCGCGGCGGGCACGGCGCCGGAGGCGCTCGCGCGAGCGCGCGAAGACCATTTCAAGCAGGCGGCCCGCGCATTGGAGCAGAGGGGGCCGTCTGACAGCGAGATCTCCGACTTTCGGACAGCGTTCGCGATGGGCGGCGCGGCGCCAATCTCTGATGGCGCTGCGAAGTGCTGCTCGGAGAAGTCTGGTCGCAAGGGCGTCGGGTCGCGGACCTGTCTAGCCCTGTTCCGCGCTGAGAAGGAAGGCGAGACCAAAGAGCTAGCGCGGGCCCAAGGGGGGCCCGAGTGAGGCAGGCGACGAGTCGGTGACCAGGCTCTGCCAGTCGTTGGCGCCCTCGGTGACTCGCGGCTCCAAATGCTTGTCGGCGCAGGTTCCGACTCGACCCGGCGAGGCTGTCGCGACGCAGCGCGAAGACGTTCGGAGCGAAGACTCTGCAGCGCAGACCATGCAGGAAATTGGTTCCCAAGCTGATGGCATCGCTCGCGCGCTGGGGCGCGCGTCGTTCTCGCTCGGCAAGACGCCCTGTTTCCATTGAACGGCGTCGACGACGAGCGCGCCGAGCAGGGCGACAAGGCCCGCCTTCGACGATACCTGCGTCGGAACGCACTGCGCTCTCAGGAGCGCTGCCAGCTCAGCGTGGAGGTTTGCGATTTCGGCCAGTGCGCAGGTCGAGCCTCTGCCGCGCGTTTCTGGCTCTGCTTGGCGGCCGGCTCGGCGGAGAGCAGCGCGGGGGTTTTGGCCCGGGCTCTGCCCGGCGATCACCCCGCGAGTTTGTTCCCGGCGAAGGCGCGCGCCAGGGGCTCGCCGGCGTTCGCGAGGGGCGAGAGCCACCGGCGCGCCAACGTGGGCGCGCGCGTCGAGGCGCTGCGGGCGCACTTCTGCGGCGGCGCAGCCGCAGCCATGACGCGGCCAGATCTCGCGGCCAAACTTTTCCCCCTGCGTTCGCCCCCCTCGATGCGCGCGGCCCCGCGCGCGCCGACAACGCGCGCGGGGAGCGGGTGCGCGGGTTATCTTTTTTGGATTGCGCTGGCGAGCTTGTTTTCATTACCGTCGCACTTGAATTGCGAATCCGTACTTGCTGCATTCCGTGTACGCAGGCTTCTGCAGTCTCACCATGGGCGCCGTCCACATATGGCGCTGCGTCCCTTTGGGCGGCGCGGGCGACGTTGCGCATCTCGGCGACGACGATGTCCACTATGCGTACTCGTCGCCGCGCTACTGAGTGGCGCCAAGCTCTGCTAGTGCTCCGAACTCGCGTGACATTGCAATGGGGGTGCGTTTTTCCTCGAGCGCGCAGCCGCTAGAGCATGCGCCACCAAGGTGGGCGCGGGCGTTCGGCATAGAAGTGGGCGCGCAATCAAGTGACGTTGGCATCACGCCATGGTGCACCAGCATGCACGAAACAATCATCTTGTCACATGGCCATCACCGTCACACCATCCCGCCATCACCACCACCACCACCGCCACCACCACCAGGACCATTCACCATCATCACCAACGCAACCACAACCATATAATTAGAGAGATAATTCGATAGATGAATCGATCGGTGTATGGATAAATCAATATATGGATTTGTACACACATATATATAACTATATATATTTATATATAAAAAATGTACGTGGGCAACATCTATGTACATATATATAGAGAGAGATATTTATATACATAGATTTGTAGATCAGTCGGACGCTGGTACTTATTTGTCCGCGCACTCTTTGCTGGCGGCAGGCGGGGTTCCTCGCAGATCGACCGCGTCCTCCTTCCCCCCAATTTTCTTATCACCCGAAATGTGGTCCCATCGGTGTATTGGTCATGGTCATTGTGTTTCTTCCCGTGATATTGGGTCCATCATTGGTTTTTCTTGCGTTTTCGGACGCTTTGCCAGGTCCTCTTCGAGACCGCCTCGAGACCGTCTCGAGGCTTTGGGTGCCCACCAGAGGCGAAAACCATTGGCAGTTCGCCTGCGGTGCGCCCAGGGGGGAAGGCAGACGGGGCGGGCCTTCCCAGAAAACTCCGAAAGCCTCCAGCCTTCTGGGAAGCCTCCTAAGTTTCACCCCGAAGCCACACAGGCCTTCTCAGAAGGCCCCAGGGCTTCCAAACCCCCCCCCCCCGTTTTCTGAGAAGGCCTGCCCCTCTCGCCTCCCCCCTCGGCACGCCGCCCAGAGGAGCTCCTCCCATGCTCCCGTGCTCCCTTCCTGGCTTCCTGTCGTCTCGCCGCGTCTGTCCTCCCCCCTCACTGCTTTTACTCGCCCGTCCCTCTCTCGCTCCCTCCAGGCATCCGTCCTCTCCCCTGCCCTCTGCCGGTCCACCGAAATGTCCTTGACCTCCTCCTCCTCCTTCGCTTCCTCTTTTCGCCTCCTCCCCCTCCTCTCTCCGCCGTCTCCTCCCTGTCTTCGTTGTTGCATTGCACAGGCATTGACGGGATGGCCCTCGCGTTTGCTTTGTCCTCGTCCTTCTCCTCGCTCCTCCAACTCCCCGTCCTCCTTTTCATCCTCCTTCTCCCCTTCCTTCTCCCCCTCCTTCTGCCCCGTTTCCGCATCAGAGAGTGGGAGAGGAGGACGAGGAAAGAGGAGGGGAATGGAGAAGTGGGAGGTCTTCGCCTTGCTTTGCCTGTCCAGCTTCTTGTTCAATGTCACCATGACGATCTGGCCCTCCAGCCAGAGCGGGTCGTACCGCGCCTCCGCCCGGACGAGACGGGCTAGTTGCCTAGCTTGAGGGGGAGGACGGGAAGGAGGCCGGGGATGAGGAGGAGGGATGACGTCAGGAGGAAAAGTTACGTACCCATACGACTACCCTTGCCTCGTATTTGCCTTTCTGGGCCTCCAAGGAGGCCCTCGTCGCCACTGCTGGATTCGCTTCGAAATTCTGGTGACAACGCGCCCTAGCAAAGGTTCACGCCTTGGCGGTGTCGGTAACTTGTTCTTTCCGCACAGGTGGAGGAGGCGGTGGTGGAGGAGGAGGAGGAGAAGGAGGAGGAGGAATGAGAGGGGGGCGGAGGAGGAGGATGAGGAGGAGGAGGAGGAGAAGGAAGAGGAAGGGGGAGGATGAGTTGGGAGGAGGAGGAGGAGAAGGAGGATGAGGCGGAGGAGGAGGAGGAGGCGGAGGAGGAGGAGGGAATGTAGGAAGGAAGGAAGGAGGGTGGAAGGAAGGAAGGAAGGGAAGGAAGGAGGGCAGAGACGGGAGGAGGAAGAGGAGGCGGAGGAGGAAGGAAGGAAGGAAGGAAGGAAGGAAGGAAGGAAGGAAGGAAGGAAGGAAGGAGGGGGAGGAGGAGGAGGAGGAGGAGGTGGAGGGAGGAGGAGGAGGAGGAGGAGGGGAGGACGGCCCGCGGGCAACAGCAGCACGAAGAGCTCGGCCGCCAACCGCCAAAGGGCGGCCCATTGCCGGCGAGCAGGTTTGGAGGAGCCCTAGGGAAATGAGGAGGAGGACGGAGGAGGAGGAGGAGGAGGAGGAGGAGGAGGAGGAGGAGGAGGAGGAGGAGGAGGGAGGAGGAGGAGGAGGGGAGGAGGAGGAGTGAGGAGGAGGAGGAGAGGAGAGGAGGAGGAGGAGGATGAGAGGAGGAGGAGGAGGAGGGGGAGGAAGAGGAGGAAGGAGAAGGTGAAGTAGGAGGCGGAGAAAGAGGACGAAGAGGAGGAGGCGGAGGAGAAGAGGAGGATGAGAGGAGGAGGAGGCGGAGGAGGAGGAGGAGGAGGAGGGAGGAGGAGGAGGAGGAGGAGGAAGGAGGAGGAGGAGGAGGAGGAGGAGGAGGAGGAGACGAAGGACGAGGACGAGTCCAAGCGAGGTAGGAGGAGGAGGAGGAGGAGGAGGCGGAGGAGAGGAGGAGAGAGGAGGAGAGGAGGAGGAGGAGGAGGAGGAGGAGGGAAGGAGGAGGAGGAGGAGGAGGAGGAGGAGGAGGAGGAAGGAGGGAGGAGGAGGAGGAGAGGAGAAGGATGATGGGAGGAGGGGAGGAGGAGGAGGAAGAGGAGGAGGAGGAGGAGGAGGAGGGCTGAGGAAGGGAGGTAGAAGGAGGAGGAGGAGGAGGAGGAGGAGGAGGGGGAGGAGGAGGAGGAGGGGGAGGAGGGAGAGGAGGAGGAGAAGGAGGAGGGAAAGGAGGAGGAGGAGGAGAAGGAGGAGGAGGGAGGAGGGAGGAGGGAGGAGGGAGGAGGAGGAAGAGGAGGAGGAGGAGGAGGAGGAGGAGGAGACGCAAGAAGCTCTTCACACCCAGGCTCCCAAGCACGAAGGTGACGTAAAAGGCTCGTCACACCAAGAGCGAGCGTGAACGTAAACATCTCTGATTACCAGGGCTCCCTACAGAGAGTGGTGACGAAACAAGCTCTTGCCTCCAAGGTTCCCGAGAGCGAACGGTGACGTAACAAACTCGTGCACACCAAGGCTCCCAAGAGCGAACGGTGACGTACACAACTCTCAACACCAAGGTTCCCAAGAGCGAGCGGCAACGTAAAATTCTCGGAACACCAAGTCTCCCAAGAGAGAGCGGTGACGTCACAAATTCCTACCACCAAGGCTCGCAGGAGCGAAGGGTGCCATGAGCCCTCTCCGTCAGGTTGTTGCAGCGCTCTTTCCGTTCCCGTGCCGGCCCCAGGTAACGGAAAGAGCGAGGTATGAGTGATGACGTTTTGGTGTGGGCGAAGCCCCTGAAGGGGGGTTCCCAGGGTGGGTGGGTAGCGGGCACGAATGGGCTCTAATGGCCGTTTGGGCGGTTTTCCTTCGGGTTTTTGTATGTTACCTAACAGCGAACACTGATAGGTTTCTATTAGGGTCAAAAGAGAGCATCATGACGCCCCAGGGGGGTCTGGGCGCAATCCAGGGGAGGGTGCCGGGGACTTTTTTAGCCAACAGTTACACACTTCGTGGTCTTCGAGGTCCCAGAACTCCATTCCTGGGCCACATTCTGAATGCCCGGAGCCAACTGTAGGCCACTTCGAGGTCTTCGAGTTCCCAGAACTCCGTTCCTGGGCCACACTTTGAATGCATGGAGCCAACTGTAGGCCACTTCGTGCTCTCCGAGTTCCCAGAACTCCATTCCCGGGCCACATTTTGAATGCCCGGAGCCAACTGTAGGCCACTTCGTGGTCTTCGAGTTCCCAGAACTCCATTCCTGGGCATGATTTTGAATGCCCGGAGCCAACTGTAGGCCACTTCGTGTTCTTCGAGTTCCCAGAACTCCATTCCCGGGCCACATTTTGAATGCTGAGGCAGGCTGATGCTGAGGCTGAGGCAGGCTGAGGCTGAGGCAGGCTGAGGCTGAAGGCCTGAGGAGGCAGGCTGAGGCTGAGGCAGGCTGAGGCTGAGGCTGAGGCAGGCTGATGCTGAGGCAGGCTGAGGCTGAGGCTGAGGCTGATGCAGGCTGAGGCTGAGGCAGGCTGAGGCTGAGGCCGAGGCTGAAGGCAGACTGAGGCTGAGGCTGAAGCAGGCTGAGGCTGAGGCTGAGGCAGGCTGAGGCTGAGGCTGAGGCAGGCTGATGCTGAGGCTGAGGCTGAGGCTGAGGCTGATGCAGGCTGAGGCTGAGGCTGAGGCTGAGGCCGAGGCTGAAGGCAGACTGAGGCTGAGGCTGAAGCAGGCTGAGGCTGAGGCTGAGGCAGGCTGAGGCTGAGGCAGGCTGAGGCTGAGGCTGAGGCTGATGCAGGCTGAGGCTGAGGCAGGCTGAGGCTGAGGCCGAGGCTGAAGGCAGACTGAGGCTGAGGCTGAAGCAGGCTGAGGCTGAGGCTGAGGCAGGCTGAGGCTGAGGCTGAGGCAGGCTGATGCTGAGGCAGGCTGAGGCTGAGGCTGAGGCTGATGCAGGCTGAGGCTGAGGCAGGCTGAGGCTGAGGCCGAGGCTGAAGGCAGACTGAGGCTGAGGCTGAAGCAGGCTGAGGCTGAGGCTGAGGCTGAGGCTGAGGCAGGCTGAGGCTGAGGCTGAGGCAGGCTGAGGCTGAGGCTGAGGCTGATGCAGGCTGAGGCTGAGGCAGGCTGAGGCTGAGGCCGAGGCTGAAGGCAGACTGAGGCTGAGGCTGAAGCAGGCTGAGGCTGAGGCTGAGGCTGAGGCAGGCTGATGCTGAGGCAGGCTGAGGCTGAGGCTGAGGCTGATGCAGGCTGAGGCTGAGGCAGGCTGAGGCTGAGGCCGAGGCTGAAGGCAGACTGAGGCTGAGGCTGGCTGAGGCTGAGGCTGAGGCAGGCTGAGGCTGAGGCTGAGGCAGGCTGATGCTGATGCAGGCTGAGGCTGAGGCTGAGGCTGATGCAGGCTGAGGCTGAGGCCGAGGCTGAAGGCAGACTGAGGCTGAGGCTGAAGCAGGCTGAGGCTGAGGCTGAGGCAGGCTGAGGCTGAGGCTGAGGCAGGCTGGCTGCAGGCTGAGGCTGAGGCTGAGGCTGAGGCTGAGGCTGAGGCTGAGGCCGAGGCTGAAGGCAGACTGAGGCTGAGGCTGCAGGCTGAGGCTGAGGCTGAGGCAGGCTGAGGCTGAGGCTGAGGCTGATGCAGGCTGAGGCTGAGGCAGGCTGAGGCTGAGGCCGAGGCTGAAGGCAGACTGAGGCTGAGGCTGAAGCAGGCTGAGGCTGAGGCTGAGGGCTGAGGCTGAGGCAGGCTGATGCTGAGGCAGGCTGAGGCTGAGGCTGAGGCTGATGCAGGCTGAGGCTGAGGCAGGCTGAGGCTGAGGCCGAGGCTGAAGGCAGACTGAGGCTGAGGCTGAAGCAGGCTGAGGCTGCGGCTGAGGCAGGCTGAGGCTGAGGTAGGCTGAGGCTGAGGCTGAGGCAGGCTGAGGCTGAGGCTGTGACTGCGACTGCCGTTGCCACTGCGACTGCCATCGCGAATGCGACTACGACTGCGAGAACAGCAGAATTCTACAACAGGAATCTCATCTGAATATTAAGGGGAATGCTTCCAGATATGCTCCTACACATCGCTGTTAGGTTGCTTTGCCGGGATATTTTTTCGGATTCTCCCTCAAGACGGCCCAAGAGCGCTCCAAGAGAGCCCAAGACCGCCCAAGACGGCCCAAGAGGCCCCCAAGAGGCGCCCAAGGGGCGTCCCAAGAGGGCCCCCAGAGGCCACAATTATTGATTATCCGAATTAAAACGTATATTTTTGGCATGTACGGCTCGTCGCCTTTCACGGCGTTGACGACGGCCCAAGAGGCCCCCAAGACCGCCCCAAGACGTCCCAAGAGGCCTCCCAAAACGGCCCAAGAGGGCCCCCAGACGGCCCAAGAGGCGCCCAAGACGGTCCAAGATGACCCCAAGACGGCCCCAAGAGGGGGACCACGAACCGACAAGTTTAGCCTATCGCCCCAAGACGCTCCCGGGAGGCCCCCACAGCCCCTCCAAGATGATTCCCACGAGGTCATCAGGAGGCCCAAATCATTGATTTTCTATGGGAAAACGTACATTTTTAGCATGCACGGCTTTGCGCCTTTCACGGCGTTGAAGACGGTTCACGAGGCCCCCAAGACCGCCCCAAGACGGCCCAAGAGGCTCCCAAGAGGCCCCCCAAACGGCCCAAGAGGGCCTTAAGACGACCCAAGAGGCGCCCAAGACGGCCCAAGAGGGCCCCAAGACGGCCCCAAGAGGGGGACCACGAACCCGAAAGTCTAGCTTTTCGCCCCAAGACGCTCCCAGGAGGCCCCCACAGACCCCCAAGAAGCCCCAAGAGGCCCCCAAGAGGCCTCCAAAAGAGCTCTACAAGGGCCCCAGTAGGACTCCCACGAAGGCCCAGAGACGCCAAATAAAGAGCGATCGGTAACGCAAAAAGCTCTTCACACCAAGGCTCCCAAGAGCGAACGGTGACGTACACAAGCTGATAAGACCAAGGCTCCCAGCAGAGAGCGGTGACGTGACAAGTTCCTGACACCACGGCCCAGCCAAGGCTCAGGAACGGGCGGCAACGCAACCATCTCTGAACACCAAGGCTCCCACGACCGAGGGGTGACGTAACAAGCTCTCAACGCAAAGGCTCCTGGTACGAACGGTGGTGTGCGTAATTTCGGTATCTGTTTCTGCAGCGCTCTTTCCGTTTCTGTGCCGGGCCAGGTAACGGAAAGAGCGAGGTACGAGTGATGACGTTGAGTGTTGGGCGAAGCCCCTGAAGGGGGGTTTTAGGGGGGACGTACGGGGAGTGGATTTGCATGTTTTTCGGATTCTCCCTCAAGACGGCCCACGAGCCCTCCAAGAGAGCCCAAGACCGCCCAAGAGGCCCCCAAGAGGCGCCCAAGGGGCGTCCCAAGAGGGCCCCAAGAGGCCAAAATTATCGATTTTCCAAAGGAAAACGTATATTTTTAGCATGTACGGCTTTTCGCCTTTCACGGCCCAAGAGACCCCCAAGACCGCCCCAAGACGGCCCAAGAGGCCCCCAAAACGGCCCAAGAGGGCCCCCAGACGGCCCAAGGGGCGCCCAAGACGGCCCAAGAGGCCCCCCAAACGGCCCAAGAGGGCGCCAAGACGGCCCAAGAGAGGCGTCCCAGACTGCCCAAGAGGGCCCCAAGACGGCCCCAAGAGGGGGACCACGACCCCGAAAGTCCAGCCTTTCGCCCCAAGACGCTCCCAGGAGGCCCCCACAGACCCCCAAGAAGCCCCAAGAGGCCCCCAAGAGGCCACCAGGAGGGCCCAAAAAGGGTCCCAAAAAGACTCCCACGAAGGCCCAGAGACGCCAAGAGCGATCGGTAATGCAAAAAGCTCTTGACATCTTGACACCAAGGCTCCCAAGAGCGAACGGTGACGTACATAAGCTAGTAAGACCAAGGCTCCCAGCAGAGAGCGGTGACGTTACAAGTTCCTGACACCACGGCCCAGCCAAGGCTCAGGAATGGGCGGCAACGCAACCATCTCTGAACCCCAAGGCTCCCAAGAGCGAGGGGTGACGTAACCAGCTCTCATCGCCAAGGCTCCCGGTACGACCGGTGGTGTGAGTAATTTCGGTATGTTTCTGTGCCGGGTCAGGTCTGACGGCCTTCGGCCCATCCCGCCACCGTGCCTCGGGAGATTTGGCAATGTTGGCTTCGGGCCTCTCAAGAACCCCCAGGAGCGAGGATTGAGGCTTACAGGATAAGGCAAAGGACCTGAGGACATTCCCACTCTGTGCCCAGCGGCACGGCGGCGGACGTTTACGTATGCGTTTGTTGTTCCTCTATTCCCCGCGGCCCGTCCCTCCTCCCTCTCCATGGTTTCCCACTGCCACCTCTCCTTCCAGCTCTTCAGAAGACCCGGCAGGAGAGGAAGCAGGGGGAGACCATGGAGAGGAGAAGAGGAACGAATAATTATTCCAGTTCCCTTCGAGAGAAACTGTCGAAGAGGACACAATCGAATCACATGCGCTGATCTCTTGGATGGGCATTGGGCCCCCCTGGCGGCGCCTCTGGCGCCGCCCCTGGCGCACTCCATGTTTATGCCGTTGTGTTGTTCCTCTACTCTCTCCGTCCCTTCCTCGTGGTGTGCCTCACTTCCCCGCACGGGCCCTCTTCCTGATTTCTCGCGCCAGCCCCCGTAGCTCGATCTCTCAACCTTCCGTCTCCCTGCTATGCGCTCGATTCCCTGCGGTGCAGGGTTCCTGTTTCATCGGGCGAGCTACGTCGAGTCCATGCAGGACCAACCACCAAGCATGCTCATTTGTGTGGTCAGGCTTCTCTTCACATCATCCAGATTTTGGGAGGTGTACTGCTTTGCACTGGACGGTGCGGGATCAGGGAAACAGAACGACGCTTGCGCAGGTTGCTTTTAGCTGGCGCTCCAAGCTGCAATTGCCAGCTCTGGTTGGCCAGCCGCACCTCTTTTTCAGTGCAGTATAGTGCGGTGCGGCAAGGTGCACACTACGTTGTCTTGCATTGAGTTGCTGCGCTTTGCGCTGCGCTGCTCTAAGTTGCTGTTCTGATTCGCCTTAAAGTGTTTTGAACGTAATGCGTTGCTCCACATTTCTGTGTCTTGTATTGAGTTGATATGGTTTGCTTTGTACTGCGTCGCTTGGCATGGTATTGCTTTGTATTGTATCTTATCTAGTGGACTTCGGCCCATCCTGCTACCGTGCCTGGGTCGTTGACCAGGGGACTCTGAGAAGCCGTTTGGGATCATTTTGGAGACCTCTTCGGCCTCCTCTTGGAGGTCTCTTTGGGCGTTTCGAACGCCTCTTGGAGGCTTGTTGGGGAACTATTGGGAGCCTCTGGGGGCCTCTGGGGGGCCTGCTGGTGGTCCTGGTGACCACCTTTGGATGACGGGCTGCAGTTGTCGGTTCGCGTTCCCCTCTTGGGACAGTCTTGGAAGCCTCTTGAGCCCGTCTTGGGGGCCTTTGGGGCCGTCCTGAGGCGATCTTGGGGTATCTTGCGCCGTCTTGGACGCTCTTCGGGCCCAAAAGTCGAGCATGGTAAAATCATGCAACAGCCGTGTTGTTCAACGAGTTTGGCTTCGTGGGATGCCCCCCTTGGTCCTCTAAGACGGCTCCAAAGACCCAAGATCGGCCCAGGACGGTACATCGGTGCCGTCTTGGAGCATGAGCTCGCGATAGTGTTCACGACACGCAAAGCAGAGAACTCGAAGGGACCTCACGACACTCCACTCAGCGCCTACGGCACGGTGATGCACTGTTTGGTTTGTACTATGTTGATAGATATTGGTGCATTTACATTGCCTCGGCTTGCTTTGAAGCGCTTGGCCTTGTACTGGTTTGTAGTGCGTGAGTGAAGTTACGATGCATTGCTCCGAATTCCTTTGCATGTTGGACTGCGCCGTTTTTAATGACACTGTTTTGCCTTGGTTCGCGTCACATTGAAATTCTCTGGTTTGCATCGGATTTCATCTGAGCGACGCAGAAAACGGGGTCGCCCTCACCGATGTTGGCGCGTAAGCTGCCCGCGTAAGGTCGCGCGTAAGCGCCCTCGTTGCCCATGCGGCGAGCCGCGCTGGCGGCCAGCGGAAGTCACCGCGTGAGGTCGTTATGCCATTTTGCTCAAGATTTGTTCCCAGACATCTGATGTCTTGAGTTTCTCAATGCGGGGTCCCAGCAGGCTTGGAGCTCTTCCCCATGGCTGGCTCTTCATCCTGAGTCGTTTTCTGGCACTCCCGAGGCCTGGCGAGGGGGTCGCCAGTGGCCGAAAATCCGGAAAAACCGTCGCCTCGAGTTTCTCGAGACGTTGGAGTTCTGGGTTTTCTCATCGCTCATTTGCACCGCACTGCGCTGCCGTTCACTGGGAGATCCTTGCCAGGTCCCGCGGCAGGCGCAGCCGCACTGGGCACGCTCTCGGTTCTCGGATTTCATGGCTCCTCTTCTGATTTGACGCATCCCCTCGACCCCGCCCCAAGGGCGCCCTCGAGGGCGCGAAGTTCTTCGCGCTTCGCGGTTCGGCTCCGATCCCTCATCCTCCTCTTCTCTCCTGGGAGGCGGCGCGAGAGCACGAAGTTATTCGCACTTCGCGCAGCGCGAAGCACGAAGTTGGGAGCCCTTGGAGGCCTCGCCACTCTCGCCCAGGCCACCATCGCCCTCGCCATCGCCACCCGCCGCCAAGGCACAGCCGGACCCTCGCCCTCGGAGGGCGCCAAAGGCTGGAGTAACAGGGAGCGTGGCGGGGGTCTTCCTCGCAGTCTTTGCCGTGCAGGGAGGCCACCTTCGGGCTTGGGTGGGTGCCTCGAGAGTTCGCCACGTTCTGGCCCGTCGCCGCCCGTTGCCGCTTATGTATGTGGGTTCGTCGAAGATTCGTCACGTTTTGGCCCGTTGCCGCCAGTAGTGTTTGCACTAAGGTTCTTACCTGTGCTGCCGAGGTACTTGGACAAGTCTGGCGGCACTTCACCTGGTAGGCGGCCGTGGGCTGTGCGCTGGGTGGGTCCAGCGGGGTTTCGCCCGGTTAGTGCCCGTGGGCGCCTCGCGGGCGATTGCACCGCGTAGTATGCAGGCTATGAAGTGCACCACGCATTCAATACCACATACTGTAAGATTTCATTTCGCAAGAAGAAACGACTCCACCACCCTCTACCCCCTCCCCACCAGGGTTATCGACCCCCCGTGGGACACTGCACACTACATCTGATTCTGCCTCATCGTTCATTTCCCACATGAATCAATATTATCCCAGGCAGGCTGGGTATCGCCCCCACCTCCCCCCTCCCCGCATCCCTGTCAAATAACATCATGCGCGCACATTCGTGTATCGAAGAAGATCATATTTCAATAATCCCTTGCAACAAATATCACACAGTTTACGCGCGTGTGCAACCTACAGACATTTCGACACAAAGATATCAAAACCCGTACGTTGTTCATCACAACTCTTGCACATGTTTTGCCCGCGCGCCTTTGCTGAAAAATGCTAAAATCATGGGAGAACCAGATGTCTTCAGTGATCTCGTCCAGAAGCCGCATTCTCACCTCACCACGCGGTGCATCCGCGTTGATCCAGCATGCGCCCAGTGCACGTATCCGTATCAAATAATATCATGCGGGCCACGAGCGCGCCGCCACGCGCTCGCGTCGAAACCCTAACAAAGCCATTCGCTTCCGAAGCATTTCAAAGTAAAGTTCTTCAACAACGTATGGAAAAACACGCGTTCAAACAACAGTTTGCCAGGGTTATCGGTTTTCCGCGCGCGTGCGCATTTCCTCATTATCACCCTCATCAAAGCTGCCGCATCACGTCATCGTCATCGACCATCGCCACAATGGGTCGTCATCACCCAAGCACCTTCATCACCGACACATGGACATCATCATCATCATCGACGTCACCAGCATCGGCGAGGTCATTGGCCTTGCCGTCGTCGTCGTCGTCGTCATCATCACCACCACCATCGCTACTACTACTATCATCATCAGCATCAGCATCAGCATCATCATCATCATCATCATCATCATCATCATCATCATCATCATCATCATCATCATCATCTTCATCTTCATCTTCATCTTCATCTTCATCATCATCATCATCATCATTGCCGCCCTTTTTGACGTCGTCATGATACCGCGCCCGCCCGAGCCACCGACCCGCATTGAAGTGCCCGCGAGTCAGCGCGGCCTTTGAGACGCGCTGGGAAGTTGCCACAGGTAAGCGCCATCGCTGCCGTATCGGCTGTGCCAAACCAATTGGCCGCTCTATGCGCGAGTTTGCGCCGCCAAGCGTGCGCTACATATATTTCACCAGAAGTGCACATGAAAAACACTTCTACACGTTGGGTGTGCTGAGGCTTCGCCACGTTACCACGCGTCGCTGCTCGTTGCTTCCACATCGTAGTTTACACCGCGTGTCTTACACATCGAATGTGCAACCAACTACCCTTCGGATTTGGCGCTAACAGACATCCGCACATTTGCACAGACATACATACATATTTACGTGTATATGTGTATGTATGTATGTATGTAAGTACGTACGTACGTACGTATGTATGTATGTATGTATGTATGTATGTATGTATGTATGTGTGTATGTGTGTATGTATGTATGTTTGTAAGTATGAACCAGCGCGTTCCGCGGTCGCTTAGAAGGGTGGGGGGTTAAAACCGGACCCCCCCTTCCCTTCCTCTCCTGCTTCCCCTCCTCTCCTCGGGCCGGCGCTTGCGTCGGCGGCGGCTGGCGGCGGCGGCGGGGACGACGATTTCTTTTTCTGGGCCGGCGCCGGCGCCTGCGGCGGCGGGCGGCGGCGGCGGCGGGGAGCGTAGACGAGGACGACGGAGGTGGTGGTGGTGGTGGTGGCGGTGGTGGTGGTTGTGGTGTGGTGGTGTGGTGGTTTGGTGTGGTGGTGGTGGTTGTGGTGGTGGGTGGTGGTGGTGGCGGTTTGGTGATGTGGTGGTGGTGGTGGTGGTGGTGGTGGTGGTGGTGGTGGTGGTGGTGGTGGGTGGTGGTCTGGGCTGTGTGGTGGGTTTGTGGAGGTGGTGGTGGTGGTGGTTTGTGGTGGTGGCGGTGTTTTGTGGAGGTGGTGCTGGTGGTGGTGGTGGCGGTGGCGGTGGCGGTGGTGGTGGTGGTGGTGTGGTTGCTTGTGGTGGCGGTGGGTCGTGCTGCTGGTAGTGGTGGTGGTTGTGGCGGCGGTGGTGGTGGTGTGGTAAATTGTGGTGGTGGTGGTGGTGGTGGTGGTGGTAGTGGTCGTGGGTTTTTGTGGCGGTGGTGGTGGTGATGGTGAGTTGTGGTGGTGATGGTTGTGGTGGTGGTGGTGGTGTGGTGGTGGTTTGTGGTGGTGGTGGGTTGTGGTGGTAGCGGTGGTTTGTGAACGTGGTGCTGGTGGTGGTCGTGGCGGTGGTGGTGGTAGTTGTGTGGTGGTTTGTGGTGGTGGCGGTGGGTCGTGCTGCTAGTAGTGGTGGTGGTTGTGGCGGTGGTGGTGGTGTGGTAGATTGTGGTGGTGGTGGTGGTGGTGGTAGTGGTGGTGGGTTTTGTGGTGGTTGTGGCGGTGATGGTGAGTTGTGGTGGTGGTGTTGGTGGCTGTGGTGGTGGTGCTGGTGGTGGTTTTGTGGTGGGTTGTGGTGGTAGCGGTGGTGGTGGGTTGAAGCGGTGGTGGTAGTGGCGGCGGTGGTGGTAGTGGTGGTAATCGTCGCTGCGTCTCCGCCGTCGCCGGCGCCAGCGCTGGCGCTGCTGGCCGCCGCCAGCGCCGGCGCCGGCGCCAGGGGGGGGG